CCATAAATTAATTTCTCCTTATTTCATGCATGTATTTGTTCACTGTAGCCTTTTGAAAATGTTCATTCAACTCTGGCTGCAACTATACCTCTAATATTTTCCTACCTGTTTTAAAAGGCAGTGGTCATTATCTGCCTTTTTTTGTTTCTGTTTTTTGGCTTTTTTTTTTTTTTTTTTTGTGCCAGTTCTGTCTGAAAGTAGATTCCATAGAATTTTCTTTAATTGAAAAACTGAAACTAAAAATATTTGCACAATTTTGTTATTATTAATGGGAACTATAGGGAAATAATGGGAAATAATGGGAACAAAAAGAAAAGGAACTTGCAGTTTTTCTTTTGAAGAGTTGGAAAATGTACATTGAGAGTTTTGATATGAAATGTGATGGCTGCTCCAAAAATAATACTTCCTATTTTATTATGCTGGCTCACAACATCAGTGGCAGATGTTGGTGGAATGGCAATAGAGGCTGAACCTTCCCAGCAATATTCTGCTACGTTTTGTTGCTGTGCGACAGATGGCAGCAGAGGGGCAGTCTGACAAAATTGTGTCTGACATGGAAGTATGCATGAAGCAAAGGTGTGTCCTGAAATTCCTCCACGCAGCAAAAATGGCACCCCTAGATGCTCAGTGACACTTGCTGAATGGAGAGCAAACAGTGGATGTGAGCACAGTGACGCCATGGGTGATGCTTTTCAGCAGTGGCAGCAGCAACATGAAAGACAAGCCATTTTCCAGATAGCTAAGCAGGCTCGTAAAATGCGTGGCTAATGGTGGTGACTATGCTGAAAAGTCATGTTTTGTTGCTGACAATTTGCTCTATCACCCAGTGTTTCCACAGAAATAAATTGGAGGCATCACTTTCGGAATGACCTTTGTAAGTGATGTTTCCAGAACATTTAATTGAAAATTTAAATGAGAGCTTATATGTGAGATATTTTTTTAAGCTAACAGTGGTTACCTTTAGCATTCCTTCAGAGTATTTTGTGTAGTCCTCTCCCCTTTGCTGCATGTGTTAGCACAGCATGTATCAAAGCAAGAAGTTAGACTCATTAGAGTATCATTTAAGCTATACTGCAAACAGAAGATGATCATCAGGGAGATAATAACACTTCCTGTGTGATTAATACACAGAGAGCAAGAGGTGTAGCACAGAGGCACAGCTAATTAATTACACTAGCTGAAGATACTTTTACTAGTATCATATATCTATATGATGCCATGGATATAATTAAATGGCTTGAATCCCACATACTCAGCAGCTCAGAAAAGATGTAAGGTTCCACAAAAACCCAGTTCTGCATGCATCTGCAGATTCTGCTTATCTGTGGTGCTGGTCAGGCACATGTCCAAGACGTGTTGAACAACTTGTTTTAAGTCAGTAAGCTGCAATTTGAGGAGTTTGGCGTAGATTAAATTGCATAGAAACGTATTAATGTGCTCTGAGCTTGCAGTCTGGCTTGCAAATTTGTCTAATACATATCCAAGAGGAGTTAGCATACAAGCTGCTGTTGGTGGGCAGCTGTGAACTCCGTTAGTTGCCAGAGAAGTGCTCATACCAGCTTGCTGTGCCAAGGAGCAGTCCTTTGGATGTGGGATGTTTGCCAGATGGTCACACCTGTGGCAGTCAGTCTTCTGTGGAAAAGAACATAAACTTTAGTCAGGGCAAGCTAAGTAGGAGAAAAAAAAGTCTTTAGTGCAATGAATGTTCAGGCTCTGCACCAGGAGACAGTACTCCACGTGTGGAGACTAGGGCCATGTACAAACATGTTTTCTGCATAGCTGAACAATTGGTTTCATGCTTTGCCTGTCTGATGCTACCCCTGTGTAGAAGAGATGTGAAAATATATATAAATGTATGCATACCATTTATACATATGCAAAATGAATATATATCATTTTGTATATTGTAAAATGAATACATTTTATGTGTTCACAGTATGAATAAAGAAAACAAGTCAAACAAACGAAGCCATATTCTACTAATAGCTAGAAACTGTTCTAAGCTTTGTTTCTGAGCCACTAAGCCTAATGACAAAGCCATCTCCTCTAAATGCTCTGTCAGTAACAACAAAATGTAATCCCCAGATGTTAGTTGTATGAATTATATTCTCATCACCAAAGGATGAGCTGCTTATGTGAGGCAGTCTATGATGAGATGGAAGGCCTTCGATTAGGGAATATGTTGCAGTCAAATGGCAGAATTTCTGCAGAACACAGAAAAGCATACCAACTGTGCCACTACCTGTCTTACAGTTTACAGGTATAACTTCAGACAGGATTTTAATACGTATTTATGGATAGTAATATTGAGATTTGTTCAACTCCTTTCTGTTGTATTAAATGCAGGGAGTACTTTTTTACATGTTTTCAGTATGGCTTGGATGATTCTTCATCATACAAGTCTCACTACATGGAGGAAGCATTTCAGAGCTTGGAAACAAGAGGATAATACTGAAAAAACCTAAGAATGTTAGAAGATATTTGTTCTAAAATTGAGTGTCACAAAATTGTAACCAATCTTTCTTTTCCTGGGTCAGCCCCTCTCTGTTGAATTCTTTTTTGGCTGCTGTTCCATGGAATGTAAGTTTAATGTCTGAGAGGATTGTATCCTGCCTTTACAAGAGGGTGGGAAGAATATTTTGTTAGGTACTTTTTGTCTGTGACCGCTATGATCCTGCTTAAAAGCAGATGGCTGAGTTTCCATTTGCAGCTTCTAGTTTGTGGAGGGAATCCAGTGTAATTAAATCTTAGAAAATCCTCTTATTCACAATATAAGTAAATATCTGACAGAGGCGATTCCCCTGAGCCTACATCATAGCACAAGGAAAACAAAGAGCAGAAGCAGCTACCAACATTCTCTTAAATATTTGAACATTTTGGACAGACTTCTGCCCCGATTACATTTGCTGCAAGCCTCACTGAAATTAACAGAGTTGTGCCAATGATTTTTGAGACAGAATTTGGATTACTGATTCTTCTCACTCTTAACATTAAACTGGATAATGATTGAGGTAGCATATAAATTACACTATGTAAACAGAAAGATAGTAGTTGTCTGAATCGTTGTACAAAATGTAATGTTAGATTTCCCATTTTGTACTAGAAGCAAAAGCACATAAATTCCACTTAACAGGATTTGAGGTTGAAAGTGTAGTCTCAAAAGAAGAGCTGTATGCCTCATCAAGCAGATTTACCAAAACTGAAGGATCCTCTTATGAATATTAGTAATGATAGCAGTATTAGTGATAATTTGCAATTATACAATACTAATTCCAAGCATGTTGCAACTTCTTATCCCCAGTTAGGGTTTGGAATAAAGAAGCACACGGACAGAGACTCTTGTCTAACAGTATGTTATGAACCAGAGAGAGTTTCAGAAGTGTTTCTAGTCCTTTGACCTACTGGTGGATGTTGGCCCCTTGTATGAAGGAACTTTGAGAACGCAGAGGCAGAGAGCACTGTGCTATTTCTGTAATTCTTACCTTTCCCTGCATTTTTATTTAGTCCTTCTTTTTCAGTCTTTTCAACTCAAACTTCAAGTGCTGTGTAAGACGAGGTCATGATCTTCTCCGGAGGAAAGAAATATGGCCTTATTGCTTTTAAATGTATTCACTAAACTGAGTTCCAAATACATCTTTATCTTTAAATAAGACATATAATAAGCTTCAGCAGAATGTTTAGGAAACTACTCATTCATCACTTCTGCAGCTTGATGTTGCTAGCATAATTTTTAAGAAATCTCCAGGTAGCCCTGGCTGTAGCCATTTAGAGGAGAGGAACATAGCCAACCTTGTAGCTACATAAACAACAAAAAACATACACTATTATAGGGATTTCTCATCGAAGAGGAAAAAAATCCTGAACAAGAAATACTTCAGTGGAAACTGTACCTGCAAATAAGTTTTCTAGCCCTGCTTGTAAGAGGAAATGTTGATCCAAAGAATTGAGCAGGACAAGGAGCTGCAAATCAGAGTCTGTGCAGGCTAAGCCAGGGTACAGTGTTGAAAGTGCTGTGTGTGTCGTGTGTCAGAGTGCAAATATCCATGAAACAAAGCATTCAGTGAAGACAGCCGATGCTCTTCATTTATTTTTCACAGTGACTGGCTTTCTTCCTGTGTGTGTTGCACTGATACAACTGTTAACAAGAAATTGAATCCATTCTGAGGCATATTTGAATAAGTGTTGCACTGTGGTGGTTGTCAAAGTATTTCTGTTGTAATGAAGACTTCTTATTGCTTGATCTGTAGCTGTAGACAAGTGATCTCGTGTCAAAATGCCTCTGTTCTCTTCCAGCCCATTGCCTTCTTTTTCTAAGCTATTGCTTATGATACACTGTGGAGAACTGGGGTATTTCAGACGATACTACAATACTGTAATCTGCCTGTTACATCAAGAGACTCAGTTGCTACTTTATCTCTGATGCTGTTACTTGCATCGTTCCCTCTGAAATAGATCATTCCTCACCACCCAAGGTCTTTATCCAACTCACCAGGATGTATGTATGCCTTCATGCCTTGATCTACACCTGCCTATTTGTGACTGTCCCAGACCTTTCTTCTCATGCTAACAGCCTTGTTGTGAGACTGAATCTTTCATTATTGCTACTGATTTCATTATTGCTATTGATTCAGCGACATTTTTAAAGAGAAAAAGCAGAATTTTTTAATTTCATCTTGGTGTTTTATTACTTGTGAATATATGACAAATTCATTATGAAGCAGACAGGCAGTATTTAGCATTGCTAAACAGAAAACAAATTGCTAATTTTGCCCTTTTATGCCCCGGTGAATAAAAACTCCTTTCCCTCAAACTGTTTCTGACATGGATTAACACCACAGCAAGCATTAAGCTTAGAAATCACCAGGAACTTGTTGGGGCTACAGGCAAAAAAAAAAAAAAAGAAAGGACTCACAGGACTAGAGTTGCACTTTTCAGCTCCTTTCTACCATCTTGCAAATAGAAAGGGCTAAGAAAAAAAAGAAAGACTTTGTGGTAGGGATTTACAGCTCTTCTGTTTCACCACTTCTCGGCACATTGATGTCGGTGTGGTACTCAGAGGACTCTCCTGAAGGCATCCAAGGTATTGGGGTTCTGTTGAAGGAGGGTCTGTTTCTGAAATTTTGATTATATAACACAATAGATTCTGGAAGCAAAGGGCAAATATCGAACTGAGGCACTTTGAAGGTCATCCGTTTGGCTGCTTTCTCATAACCCCCATATGGCATGGCAGTCCTGGCAAAGGAGAAACAATGGACTTAGTGCAGAGAACATAAGTAAACAATGGGATTTAGAAAATAAAGAATTAAATACATAGAAATGGTATATATTACTGCTGTTGCAATTAACTACCAAATCCTGCCCAAGAGCATACATATCTATCGTCTGTGTGCTTAGAAAAACAATAAAAAAGGAAACAAATCCTCTCTGCTTCTGTGCACTTCTTTAGTTTTTGCTGCATAAGCCTCTGTAAAACCATACAGTTTTCACACCTGAAGATATCCTTTTGGAGGCAGAGGCTGCATTACTGCAGAAAGGATGGGGTTTTCTTATTTCCTAGGTACTGATGTTCTAAAGCTACAAAAGTAAGTGCAAACCATAGAGTGGTTAACATAAGATTGTTGCTGCACTAGAGATAGCAACAATCTACTAAACTTTCAATTCACTACAAACTTTCAGTTCTTACCAGAAGCAGCAGGAAGATTCTGATTCTTATCTGAAGTACTGGCAAGTATATGGCTTCTGATATGGAGTATTTTTCCTGAACTTTTGAACTTTAAAGAGCTACAGTAATAAGCAGTGGCATGCCAAATGTGAGGAGAAAGAAAGGGAAATAGGATTAAAGTCCTCTTATCCCGCTACCTAGGTCTATAAGCAGAATTAAAATCTCTAGTTCTTAATGTATTTTCTCTTTAAAGGCCTCCAATCTTTTCACCCACAGGAGACTGCAATTAGTAAAATGACACGCAACTAATACTAATTTACATTGCACAACACAGGAGAACCATGCCCCAAACTATTGTGGTTGTTATTTTCATTCAAAGTAAATGGAATTCTATATCCCAGAAGACTTACCTGTTAAAAGACTTGTAATGGGGGAAATCAGCTTTGGGACTATATGATAATAAGTCAATGGTCATTTGACTTTTGTCCTCAGGGCTGATGCCCATTGCTCGTTCCCAGGGGGAGATGTAAGTTTTAAACAGAGGTTTTTTGCCTCCTGATTTTCCATCTGTAAACAGATGAAAGTAAAACCATCTAATTAGATGACAAGTGCTCCAAATACCACACCTTTCTTGCTATTGAAAGCTATCTTGATATCTTGCTATCTTGCCATTGAAGCTGAAGCACCCAGAATGCATGGTTAGATTTCTCTAACTGAGCTACTTCTGTCCTTATCCACAAAATCAGATGTATCACAGTCTAAGAGCCACTCACTCAGGAACTTGTTTTAAAGCATATATTTGAGAGTTATATTTTCACTGTTCCCTCTGGATGCTCAAAACCCTCATCTCTTCACTATTTCAGGGAAAATTCTTGGGAAAGGCAAAATGCTATCTGGTTTCACAGATTTCTTTCTCAGAGGGATATCCAGAAGTATAAAAGCCAGATTTGATATAAAATGGACATTCTTCCAGAATGTAAATGGAAAACCTTGGATTTTACAAGTCACTCAAAGTAGTTGGTCACTTATGGTACCTATTTGCAGTTCCCAAGCAAATTTGCTTTTTGTTGTTAAAATGCCATTGGAACTGTTAAAATAATTACTTCATCTGCTGATTTTCATGCAAGGGATTTGATTCCGGAGCCTTCTGGTGAAACTCAGTGGAAGACAAAAATAAATCAGGACTAAAATCAGTGGAAGATACTCTGCCTCATAAAGATATTGCTTTAAGTGATGATTAGTAGATAACATTTAGAGATATTGCTGTTTGTTTCTTAATATTACCCAGAATATGCTGTTCATTCAGGTGAAGGCCTTATTTTGAAATTAGGATTGATATTCTCGAGTCTGACGTGTCAGGTCAAACTACTGAGCTAAAAAGCTACTCCTGCTGTCTCCGACAGTGTTCAACATGAAACTCTTCAAAGGAAAGGTTTTAGCTCGTGCTGTACAGGCATATTGCTTACTAACCTTAAAATCTCAGGATTTTCCCATCATTTCTTTGGTTCAGTCAAGGCAGGTATTTCTGCTTTTTGTTTATGAATGAGCAACAAGGCAACACTCAGTCAAAAACATCTTAAACTTTGCAGTGCAACTTAGTTTGTAATAATACAGGTTTTAGTCAATTTCATTTACTTGTCTGTAAGAGTAAGACTGGCACAAGCTCTGATAGCTTTATCTATTTCTTGCTCTTGCAGAGAGATACTTGCCTTTCTCGGTACCGTGACCTCCTTCTCCAGCACTTCCAGCAGATTTTTCTGCATGCTCCCCTTCGCTGTCTCCAGGACCTCCTTTGCTTCCAGGCCTAGGAGGAACGGTGGAATAGTGCTGCTTACTGGAGCCATGATGCCCTGCTGTCACTCCTCCTACCATCCGCCCGTGGCCATAACCATGAGCATCTTCTCCATAATGCCCTCCTGGTGGGATGAACCTCTGGAAGTGATCCTAAGGCAAGAGAAAAGAGTAGAATTCCATGTTACAGGACACTGGTTACTCACACTTGCAGGATTCAGTCCCAGAATGCAAACCCCTGACTCCTGGGGTTCTAACCACGTTTGTCCTGATTACAAAACCGATGGCAGAACTTTGTGTGAGTTATTCTCTTTATTCAGTTTAGAAGCAGTTTTAGCAACACGGACAACTGAAGGACACTTTTAATTGGGCGGTTCTGTGTACTGTTCCCAGCAGTGATCTATATGAAATACAGAAGGAAATAACAGCTTTTGCCAGAGAAGGTAAAAGTTCAAACAGAGACACTGTTCGAGTTGTGGAAAAGCAAAATGGACAAGAGATGGAAATTGTTTCATGTGGGAGCTAAGCATTAGAAAGCACAACAGCAGCAGGGTACCTATGGCAATACGAAAGCCTGACAGATAACTTGTCAGTATGGCTGTTTTCCATATATATGAAAGTCAGCATGGGGAGGTATTTATACTTTGAGATTTACACTAAAGAGCTAGAAGCCTGGTTTATGTCTTTTCTTTTGGAATAGAGGATAGGCTACAAGTATGCAAATATACCAGAAATAAAGCTGAAGGTTACTGAATCTGTCATTCCTCATGCTGCAGTTCTGCTTGTGTAAATTCCTCATGGCCAGTCCTTGGGAGGCAGAAGTGCTGATCAGAGCTCCCAGGGGGTTAAGTTTTTCTCAGGGCTCTTACACCTAGTACAGTTTAGCAAAAAGCAGCTTTCCAGGCTGTAAACAGGCTTCCAAGGCCAGCTGTTTGGTCAACTAAAAATAGATGAGAAGTAAAAACCTCACAAGGCTCTAGGCAGAAGAATTATCTAACCCTCTGCTCCGTGTGTCTCCAACAACAGTGTCCAGGGTTTCACAGCAGGTCACCAGGCTGCAACCCAGGCAGGGAGCCAGCTGCAGGCTGAAGTGGCAGAGCTGGTGCCCCCAGGGCCTTTAGGGACTGTCCGTCCTTCTCCTAGCTGAAGGGAATTCCCTTTTTAGGAGTAGAGTAGATAATGTTCCCCTGAATGTCAGGAAGCACTGAGAAGGGAGAGGATTGTGAGTGTGAAGCTTAAGCTGTACACAGGATCTAGCAGGGCAATCTGTTCAATTATGTGTGGGAGCTATGTAACTGTAAAAAGGCAAGCTGAAACAAGGATTTTTTTTTTGAGGGTTAGGGGTCAGAATGAGGTTACTCTCAAAAGCTTAGTAGACATGGAAGATTAATGCTTCTACTGATATGCTCAGTAATTTCAAAGCAGGATTTTCCTTCAAGCTTCACCCACGCTGCATGCCCTTCCTCAGAATTAAATGCTTGTTTTTCTTGTCCTGTGCTAACTTACATTCACTTTTCTGGGGAAAAGAAAAAGAGAGAGAGAAAAGAAAAAGAGAGAAAAGAGGGGGGAAAAAAAGGATCAAAAAGCATTAGGAGTATAAGGATAACCTGAACCACAGTAAAATGAGCTGATTTGAGTTTGTGCACTACAGCAGTATTTGGTGTGACCAGGAAGGGGCATCATTGCCATCTTGTGTTATTTTAAATTGCAGTATTACCACTGAACAGAAGTGAAATTTTCTGAAACACAAAGTCTGCCTCAGGAAAGCCACAGTTAAATCCTGCTTATCTGCAAATTAAATTAGTTTGATTGGTCTCAGCCTACTTTGTGATTCATCACTGACCCATTAGGAAAACATCCTGTGTTCAGGAGATGTAACCATTCAGATAGGAAACCATTTTCCGTGTAATACCCCAACTCTACTCATCTACTAGAATAAATTGTTTTCTTTATTTTTGGCTACCACAATGGACTATCTTAAATCAAATTTACAGGAAAATCTATTATATAATAGAAGGCAAAGGCGATCTATCTTTTTGAAATCCTGAGTTTTGGAGCAGAGCTTTGACACAGTCAAAGTTTAGTAAGTACAACTTGGTCTCTGGTCAGGGTCTTCAGAGAGAATTATGGCTTTCATTTGGGTGAAATGCATGGCTTGTGCCTTTGGTGGCAACTTGCATATTCAAGATGCATATTCACATCATAGAAGTCACCTTGCAGGGTTCACTTATCCTGTTGGTGGAAGTCCCAGGAGAAAAGCCCGAGAGTGTCAACTGAGAAAGCTGATAACCCTTTTCTCTTGGCCCTGGGGACAGATCACAGTCCTTCTGTGTTGTGGTATGGTTAACTCTGTTTGGGTGTTGCTGGAGGTAGGAAACAGTCCCAGTCCATATGCATCCCTAGATTTGCCCTGTGAAAAGAACAGTTGTGGAAACTTCATGTGATGCACAGTCTCCTGGCTCACCTCAACAATTTGTGCTTGTGTCTTTGAAGACCTTAGCACTAGTGGGAGTCTGGTTCTGCAGGCTGAGTGCCTGGATCGAATTAATTCTGAATTCTCTAGGACTGCTGCATGTGTCTCATGAAAAATAGATGATGAAAGATGATCCAGCTAATGGAGCTGAGATCTCTAAGTATCTCAATGCCCTGACGTCACTGCAGGCAGTCCCCGGGAGGAGACACCATGTGCTTCCCATCAATTCCTTGCTGTGCCCTAAAGAGAATGATTGAGGCCAACATATGTGTTTCTATTTCCGCCTCAGTGATAAAGAGCTTCCCAAAGACTCGATGCCTATGTGGTTACTAACAGTTCTGAAGTTACTGTGACTGTGTCCTCTCAGTAGCAGCCACTCCAATGTTCCTTTATGGTAGGATGGCTGATTTAAAATTTAGACACTTGAATTTGAGAGTAGGGATCACTGGATAAGACTGCCTGATGTTTTTATGAAAACGTAAGGAAAAGGGGTGTCCGTCAGTCCTTAATTTGGTTTTGCACTGCCTTAAGCCTGTGATTCACTTTTTATAAAAGGATGAATATAAACTCAGCTGTTAAAGTATCTTAAGCTATTTTGATTTTTTAATCATGTTCCCCCAAGAGGCAGTTAGGTTGGTTCAGCTCCTGCTTTCTATTTCCAGCTCTATTTCTGACTTGCTTTTTAACTTTACAGAAAGAATTTTTCATTTCACTCTCTGACTTTACCCATTGAAATTATGTTAGTTTTTATCTCATGCTACAGGTGTTTTAAAATATCTTATTTGCGTGTTTTTTTGTCATCCTTTCTACATTTTCTCTGTGGATGAAAGAAATTGAGTTTCTGAATTTCCGTCTAAACTTTTCTCACAGCGCTCCAACAAACTGCTGTGGAGAAACAATGTCTCTTCCTCTCCGCCTTCCTACTTTTTCCATGCCAGTTACCTCTTGAACAAGAAACCATCAGATTTCATATTCACTTTTATACAGTTTAGGACTAAAAGTCTTGCTTTAGGTCTTCTGCCCCAGTCCAATTCCAGCACAGCAAAGCTCATTTTATTAGAAAAGTTATATCTCAACTGGCTCACTCCACTCATGTCACGCTCTTGGAGTTTTTTATATCTCAGCTTATTTAGTAAGATTTGTTCAAGGAGTTTAATATTCCCAGCAGAACAGACCTCGAAAAAGAGTGTTTTTCCTAATATTTTCACTTAAAACTACCGCCGGTGATCTTCTTTGGCATTCCACTAAGTACATATATTAAAAAGCGAACAGAGCCAACAGTTTATGCTTGTGACACAAGCCAAGTAGCTCCATGGTCACTCTCCTATTCTTCCACCCTTATTCTTTCCTTGAAATGTTATATAATGTTTGGCCATTTCACATGTGAGGTCTGTGAGGCTGTTAGTGTATTTTTGTCTGCTGCGATGCACCATTTTAGGCATTGTAACATAATCACTTCCATTTTCTACCTGTCACTTCTTCTTACTCCACTGGGTTCTTGTTAAGCTGCAAAGGAAATACAGGGTGTCTCCTGTCACTATGCAGAAGAACAGTAATCCAGTTCTTTAACCCTTTTTCAATGCCTATGTTTTGTTTCCCATTGTTTACAATCTGAAGAGCCCTCCTGACTTGAAGTCCAGTAGAAACTACCTGTCCACACAGGTTCAGCTTGTCTTCACATAGACATTGTCAAGATGTGGGAACTACCTTTACTGTAACTCATGGGCTGTGCCAAGAGTATATTAAGGTGGGTTTTTATGTTTGTGGGTATTATTACTATTTTTTTTTCAGATGCATGACAACTGGTAATTGTCTACGCAGATATTGGTTATTCCACCCTGCTAATGGTTCAAATTTAAGATGTGGTAGGCGAAACTGAAACAGAAAAAAAATAGACACAAATCACATCCGTCTACAAGACATATTTTCCACATATAGCTCAAATCAGACCACAAATTTTGACTTGCAGAAAGACTGTTTTTAAGGGGTCTCACTGGAAGAAAGACATCATAATAGCAACATCCAAAAAGCATAACTATGATTTTGTTTTCAAACAGTTCCCATCTAATGATACCAGGAAGGACTTTCACAAAGCTTCTGAAAGCAGAGGTGGGACTTTGTAAAGAGTAAGGGTAAAAATAAGCGGGGCTGCAGGGCTAAAAAGTGTAGTTTCAATTGATGTTGATGTATTTGAGGACAAAAATATAAATATTATGATGTGGAGAAAAGGTCTGTGAACTGCTGTTCTAATTCTGAGCAGTAAAGTGCAATTTAGGAGACCCAGAGGTAGAACTGAGACTCTCTCTGCCTCAGTTTTACTTTAAAATAACAAATGAAGTATTTCCTTCCTGTAGTGATTTATCAGATGCTATGGCAATCAAGCACATAGCTAACTAGAATTTTGCAATATTCTTTAGTAAATAACAAACTGCACCTTGCAACTCCACAGTGAGGTTGATAATATTCTCTGAGACATGGAATGAATTATAGTTCCCACAACACTGTGGCACAGAAGGAGGTAGGGAGAAGAAATCCTTCTGATTTAGTAGCCAAAGCCAGGCAGAGCTCCTGCATGGTACCAATAGGGAGAACATGACACGAACTCTCCCTGTTTGTCAGGATATCAGTGTGCTAAAAAATGTCAAACTCAGTTCTTGCTAAAAACATGTCTGTATGCTGTGTATTTTCAAGAGAAGAGGCACAATATTGAGGACTGATACACAGTAGGTGGACATGTAGCAGTGATAAGAGGGAGTGTAACATGTTCTCTTTTACATGGGCTATCTGACATTCATGCACATGCATTACGTATGTTTTCTCTGCTAGAAGTAAGGATAGTGATCTGATTGCCCTGTGTGGTTGTTTGAGTGGATGAGGAAAAGGAGGTGGAGGGTGGAAGCAGGAGAGTGGATCAATGACATGACTGCTGAGATCTTTCGCCTTGTGTGGAAGGTTTATGGCCATAGCACAGGCTGTTCTGGAAACCCTTATATGGTTTGGATTTATTTTTAATAACCTTTCACTTTGTCTTGTTTTTATATTACATTACCTTGCTGTTAATCTTTTTTTCTTGAGGGAAAGAAATCATCTGTAGTCCATGCCAACCCTTTCTTGCTTTGCTTTGCTGAGTGTTTCCTGAGAACTTTCTAAGACCATTAAGAAATCCATGATATAAAAACAAAAAAACACAGCACCAGCTTTAAATCCCTTCACAACTTGAAGGCAAAATAACTACTCAGGGATGAGTAGCAAAGGACATGAAAATTAACTGGGTGGAGGAAATGACTGGAAGTAGTAGTAGGAATTCTCTACTCTGCTGTTATCTTCCTCTCACTGTTCCTTTTCATTCAACCCTTCTTTTAATCCTTCTTTGAGCAAAGCCAGGAGCAAGAATTGAAGGGACCAGATTGCTAATCAAATAGTGCAATCAAAAGGTTTTTTTGATAAAGTGGTTTGATGCAGAGGTCAGGCATTTTCCTGATGGCTTGGAAGATAGCAGTGAGGCCACAGATCTGCTGCTTTTATCTAGATGCCTGATAGCAACCAACCCTCCGAGGGGATGGCTCTGTTGTTGAGATCACTCAAGTTTTCTTCTTGCTATTCTGGCTGCCAGCTGAGGTGCTAATTTGTGCTGGCTGTGATGATTAGAACAGTCATCTACAAAGGCAATGGATGCGGTCTGGCAGAGTCCTTGCACAAAGTGCACAGGGCAGCCAGCAAATGGTAACAATTATGTTTGTGGTCCTATTAAAATGGCCTCAGTCAAGGGCAGTATGGCAGTCTGAAGTCTTCCTGCACTGACCAACAGAGATTTGTTACTTGCTCTGTCAGCGTAGAGAAAAGGTAGCCCTGAATGGAAATCACAGAAGATTTTAATGTGGAGTGCCAGCTGCTCTTTGGAGACCCTACATTGTTCCCATATAACAAAGCCATGAAGAAAATCCTAGCCTTGTTAAGACCTTGTCTAATTCCCAAATACATTTTTCCACAGCAAATTTACTCAAAGAGCAGGAGAGTATGGATGTCCTTGCAGAATAAAGGTACAGGTTCACTACGAAAGGGTATGGAATGAATGTCAGATGTGGATGAATAAACTTACTGAAAAAATAAAAACAGCTAACAGAGAATTAGTGATTGTCATCAGCCTTTGCAGCATTAGTCTTGGAGAAACCCAGTACTTCTGTTAACTGCAGTACCTCTGTTTTTGCAAATCCAACTCTAAGCTAGTTTATCACAACTCATGTTGTATACTCACGCTGTATTTCTCTGACTGGAGACCCCTAAGTGACACCTTCAAATTTTTGCACATTTGGACTTCAGTCTTTTCATCACCTCACCTTATTTTCTCACTCCTCCTGCCATCCTCAATTGCAGCAACCCTCATATTCTGACATAGGAACTTAGCCCTCAGTACATTCTAGGAGCTCTGGGATTGCTGAGTATTTATAAGATCAACTTGCATTTCTCTAGGATTTCCATCTGCAGAGTCTAGAGTTCAACACACTCTTCGTTCTCACATCTTTTCTAAGAGAGCTGATTGAGCTGCCTTAAGGCACCAAGAGATGAAGAAACTGCCACAGTTTAGCAACATGATACGTTTTTGCTGTATCTCTGATCTGTCATCCCTGATCTATAATCCAACCCACTGCTACAATTTTAATGTTTCTTTTCAGACATCTTTCCACATCCTGCTTCCCAAATTGTCAATTCTGGGAGTCGAATACCAAGATTTACCAGCTGCTTTTGAAAATATCAGAGAGCTAAAGAATAGAAGATTTTTTTTTTTTTTTTTTTTTTCAGAATATTTTCTTCAGCTTGACTTTCATCTTTTGCTCAAGTTTTCCAAGACTGGAAAACAGATGCCACAAAGGGACAAAATTGTACCACCAAATAAAGCTTAAAGAGCATCAGAAGATGAGATGCTGCATCCAAATGTTGTTTTACTGAATTCCTAACATTATATAAAAGGAGAGTTTCCTTTTGTAAGAGTTCCAATATCTTCAGAAGACTTTACTTCAGGCAAGTAACTGAAGAAAGATTAAATGAAAGAACTAATTCATGGGAAAGAGGAAAAAAGGCATTGTGTCTAATAGGAAGATGCACTAGAAAAAAGCCAGCCATAGCTTCCAGCAAATAAAGTGAATAAATTGCAGTGTCATCTTGGAAATTTCTATCTGAATTTTCATTTATGGAATTTTGTGCAGAAACTGTGCCCAGTAGGAGGAATAAAATTGTGTCCAAGGCTAAAAATAGAACCTCACCCACTGCTGCTGAAGTCAGACTTGACTGGATTGCTTCCGTCTTGCAAAGAGAAAAGGGGATGGGTACAGCGCCCTGTGCAGTTCTGAATGCCTGATAAACATGCAGTCCTCCCTCGTCACTCAGTCCTATGCTTTCCCATGCTGTTGTTTGCATGATACCAAACTATTCACAGAAGGAAACTAAAGCTGCTGCCAAAAGAAACAAACAGGAGGTGAATCAACTCTTTGAAAGGGTTGATAACTGCAGAACAAGGGGAAATGGTTTTAAGTTGAGGGAGGGAAGATTTAGGTTGGATAATCAGGGGTCAGGGGGGAAATTCTTTACAGAGAGAGTGGTAAGGTTCTGGAACAGGCTGCCCAGAGAGGCTGTGGATGCCCCGTCCCTGGAGGTGTTCAAGGCAAGGCTGGATGGGGCCCTGGGCAGCTTAGTCAAGTATTAAATGGGGAGGCTGGTGGCCCTGTCTGTGGCAGGGGGGTTGGAGATTCATGATCCTTGAGGTCCCTTCCAACCCTGGTCATTCTATGATTCTGTGAGTCTGTGAAACAAAAAAACATATGTGTTCCTCTAATTTGTTTGGTTTTTTTTCTGCACTTCTTTGCCCATACGCGTAGAGACAGAAAGAACAGAGCTTGTGAACGTTCCATTCCTGTTCCCCCTTGATGCACAGAGCAGCTTTGCAGTTTTAATTTCCAACCTACCACAGAATTGTCGGTGAAGGCATCGGGGTTATTCTCATAAATGAACTTCTCCACCCTCAGTTGACGTAATTTGAACATCTTGGATCCTTTGTTAGTGAGGAGAGAAAGTTCTTCCAGCATCACATCTCTGGGGATGCTGATCTTCTTCCCCAGGTTCAGTCCCTCTTGCGGCATGACTACAAAACATTCACATGGATCATGTTAGGAAGTGCTCTGCTCCAGCCTTCTTGTGCATTGCTTCAAAGCAGCCAAGTTCTCATGTAAGTTAACTTTTTTAGGAAACTTTCATTTAAACATTACCTTGAAACCGCGGCAAGATTTAATGATGTGATTGTATCTTTTTGTTCATTTGTTTTAAGGGGAATTTTTAAAAGGCAAAGTGATCGAACTTCTCTTCAAGACTTAACATGCTGATTACTGGGTAACTTGCTTTCCGTGTAATTTTGTACCACCAATTCTCTGTCAAAGCTATGCATTCAAACATTTTCAGTATAAAAGTCTTCCATAGATGCAGCTAGAGCGCTCCATCCGGAACCAAGCAACTTGACTTATGTTTTTTTTTCCTATCCTTATTAAGCAGGGATTGAACCACTTATCTGCCTCAGTTTCTCATTCACAACAGAGAATAAATCTTCATCATTAAACTGGTATAACATTGGCATAAGTCCATTCTCATTTTAATAGATGTCCTCTAGAGAAATTTCCTGTTTTTTAGCAAGCTAGTTCTATATGACACTGTTTTCTAGAACAGGAGAAAATGCCTTTAATTGGAAATTGGATTTTTACTTACTTGTTTACTTCATTGCAGGATTGGGGAAAAACAGAAAAATAAATACAAGTGCCCTAACACAGAAGTTTCTACAGTCTGTTTGGGGACCTGAAGGAAGTGGCAGCACTGAATCATTACTTTTCCAAACCTCCAAAAGCATTCCCCATACTGTTAAAAGTAAAGAGATGATGTCAGTTAAATGCCACCCTATTCAATATTCATGTTTTCTGTAAAAAGAAAAGTGTCCTGGGTTATGCTCTTTCTGCTGTTACCCCCACTGAGAGAAATTGTTTTTCCACAAATGAGTGCTGGAATCCAAGGAATTCTCTCACAAAGAGGAAAAAGAAATTAGAGGCAAAGATTCTAAGAAAGAGATTAAAATGGAATATAAGCAGACATTGCAGCATCAATGCCCAGAAACGATAATACTCTCTTTCTATTCACATAGGTACTGTGTAAATGAAGTGTTTAACAGGAAGTTACAAAATGTGTTGTGGTTGAAGGCTCAGCTTTAATAATATCTGGGGCCCTGCCTCCTGGTATGTTCAATGCATATCTTACCCTAGGATTTCAGTCATGTAGAGTGTGAAATTTTGACAGCTGAAATTCAGATTGAGATCCAAACAATTCTCATGTGTGCAGTTTTGCATATCTTACCTTCGTGTGTCAGCTTCCCAATGAGTTTTGTGGGCTTTTTCCTTTTAAGAGGAGCAGGAGTCCCTGCTAGGGGCATTCCCACAAAGAGTTCTCTGCTTTGCTCTAAATACACAAGGAAATGGAGAATGAAACACTGGAAAGGTATCTTTTGCCTATCTTTAGTTGCCATCTACAGTTAAGAGACACATGGTCTTCATTTCACACACAGATTCTATTCTGTCCCATCCGCATGAAGGAGCAGAATATTATGGTATTCTTTGGAGACGTTGCATTAGGACACAAAATACAGCAACAGGTCACAGCAGAAGCATTGCAACAGCACCACATAGCAATTTCCATCCAAAATAGACATTATAGTTGCAATGTGGCAGTCTCCCAGCACATGGATGTGCCACAGTGGTACTCTGTTACCTTGTTGTGCTGCAGTAACAAAGCATCAGTTTGAAAAATTGCTCTGTCATAACATGCTATAATACCATGCAGTTATCATTTGGAGGTTATGTATGATTTTGGATAAAGATATTCGGTCTATCCATGGGATATCTGGGAGCATTTTGAATAATGTGCCAGTTTGATTTGGATGTTCTGACAGTTTTATGATGATTAGAATATTCAGAAACTCACTATACCACAATTCCTGCAAAACAAACGAAAAACCCTGCGTCGTTCTGATTTGTTGCAGGAGGGTTGGAGAAAGAAGGCACAGGCAAACCTATTAAAGCAAAACTTGTTTGTCCAAGTTGTTTGAAGTCAGTTGCTCCTTTATCTTATGTATTGATCTTATCATGTATCATTTTGGAGGGGGGGGAGGAGAGGAACAGGGAAATTTCGTCTTGTACTCTATTTTCCATCTTTGTCCCCAGATGGGATAAAAGTAGTTTAAAGTCAGGGAAAGCTCAGAGAAATCTCAGCAATTCCACTTTAGGCATCTTCAGTCCCTCTTGGGGGGGTTATCACACATAACGCAGCATAACATAAGTAGGTCTAATGTCTTGCCTTCACTTTAGCACTGTTAGTGCCCAAACAACAGCATACAGGGAGACAGATCCTCATATAATACAGTACAGTGGAAATATAAACAAGTAATGATCCATTGGCTTCAGCAAGAGAATATGGTAACTGATCATCTCTGTCCTTGCAGCTTTACTTGCTTAAAATTTCAGAGCAGAAGACACTGAACTATGAGTTATATTTATATAACTATAAATATAGTTATATATATAAACTAGCAAGCAAAGAAGTAGCTCCAGGAGTTTGCGCACTGTCCTTGTTGTGCTTGAGACATTTTTATCTTCCATGTGTTTTGCAGTTTTATTCCACCATTGCTCCTTTTGCAACATGATTTTCCTGTGATGAGGTGGCAACAACAGCTGAAAGCCCAGCCCCATTAAGCCAGCTCCAATCATACTGCCAGATACTCTCTCAGATTATTTGTTTTCCTTTCTGATTTCCAAGCTTTTCTCTACTGAGATGCTGCCAGTGTAGTTCATACTGTAGAAGAGCCCACCCAGGCATATTCCCTAAGCAAATGTGAGCAGGTGCAGCCATAAAGCATGTGCTGCACATTCTCCTCGAGCAGGCAGACATCTGCTTGGCTATATAAAAGAAGGAGGTCTTATTTGACAGGAAAGGGGCAATACTGCCAAGAGTCAGGGGTTGGAAGGTTACAGCCCATCTAATGGGCCACAAGACTGTCAAAACAGAGGGAAATCGTCTGCATGCCCCAAATGTGGATTCCTTGGGGCAAGACAGGAAGAGTTGGCACCATTAGGGAATTGTGCCCCTCCAGCATATTAATTCCCAAGGAACAGTCTGTCCCTTTCTGCTGTCCCTCACTGATCCATCAGGACTGAGGAGTAGAAAACCTACTACCTGCAATGAGTTTAGCATAGGAAAATGGCAGCCGTCTTCAGTATCGGTAGGGCCCAAATCTGCACCATGACTACTGCTCTTCCTGCTACCCCATCATGGGATGCTGCTGGAGCCTCAGTCCCCATCTTCCCTGCTATCCCATACACAAAGTCAGGCCACAATTACTCTTTTCTCCCTTGAGCAATTGTTCTGCCTTTTCCTACATGACTCTGCAGCAGTCATTTGATTGTTTTTGCTACAAACCAAACTAGTCATTACACTCCAGCCTCTGCTCTAAATTATTTTTTTTCCAGGTCAACTCACCTCAGGCTTGCAGTGCCACGTTCAGACCAGCTCATGCACCTGCCCCACAGCTCAGCAGTGGGCCGTTTCCTCCCAGCCTGTCTGTGGATACTGCTGGGGAGGCTCTTCCAGCAGCCCCACTCACCCAGGGTACCTCCTGGGTGCAGGCAAGCTCTGCCCAGCACAAAGTGCTGATGCAGAGTGCTGTGAATTCGACTCTTGAAGTCTGTTTGCACAGGCATCCTGAGGTTATTAATAACTGACAGCTCAGAGTGCAGAGTCTCAGATAGCACTGCCACAAGCCCTGAGGAAAGGGGAAAGGAAAAGGTTGCTCCTTGGGCCTCCTGCAGTCCCTGCCTGAGTACTCAGGAAAGCCAGGCACTCCATACGTTCCTCACTCCTTCTGTTCAAATCAATATGCCATTCCTCTTCTTCCCTTCCTTCTATTGCATTTTAGTAATAGTTTCTCAATATTCTTTTTCTCAGTAAGGCCTCAAAAAAAAACAATCTGAGGTCATGCTCTTCTTTACATCCATCTTCTGTCCCCTCCCCTCTCCATCATTAAACTCAACCTCCTCTAGGTTCTTATATATAACTTTTAAAATGCCAGGCATTCAAATAATGCACCAGAAAGCATAGAAATAAAATAATCATATGCATGAAATAAGAAGTAGTGCAAAGTCTAGAAAGCTACTTAGAGAGACTTAGGAAGTAGCTTGTGCAATGTGTGTGGGAAACCCAGAAGAATCAAACTGCAAGGAGACTCATTTCTGGATTCATGGAAGAAATAAGATTGGTTGCCTGCACATTGTGTAGCTCTGTGTGTGCAAATTACTCTTCTCTTTTAGCTCCTGCTTGCTTCTTCTGAGGCAACTCTACCTGCTCCCCCATAATCATTTGGGTTTTCCTTCTAGGATGGAGAGAATGTATCTCATCCTACTAGGTTACCCAAAGGTGTACATACCTTTCAGATTTCATGTAAAGCAGAAATCCTACAGAAAATGTTGTCTCCTCCATTTGACATCAGGTCAGAATCAAGCTGTCCAATAAATAAACCTAGAATCTAGTGGGGGAAAAGTAACACAGCATTGTTTGTAGTAGAAAGTCTTCAGCATGCAGAATTGCAAGTAAAATTGATATTGTCAGGATATGGGCACTTTCTCTTTTTCTTTGCACAGCTGTTTCTTCATGCACCAAATGAGTATAAAACTTCCCAAAGTGATCAGTGTGTTGAAAAGCACAAAGCATTAAGACGGCTGTACCCTTTATATGTGAGGAGGAAGTAGAGACCTATGGGCACATCTGGCAATCTGCTAGCCTAAATTTTCCCATTTTCCCCTCACTTGTATCCATATCACCTATGTGTGTACCATACATTGTGCCTATAGCACAGCACTTCTCCATTCACATCTGGAGTAACACGTAACGCTTTGCTATAAGCTTCCCACTGTCCAGACAAGTGTTGCATTCTTCACTGAAAACAGCAGGTAGACCAGAATGACCCATGGGGGCCTATTTCTTTTTGATAATCAACTAGTGAATGTGATTTGATTCGATTCGAATGTGAGCCACTGGAACAGGCTGCCCAGGGAGGTCATAGAGTCTCCTTCTCTGGAGATGTTCAAGACCTGCCTGGATGCCGACCTGTGCGACCTGCTGTAGGGAACCTGCTTTGGCAGGGGGGTTGGACTCGATGATCTCTGGAGGTCCCTTCCAACCCCTACAATTCTGTGATTCTGTGATTCTGTGATTTATACTATGGGACACAAAGCTGAGAAATGCAGCTACCACTATTTGGCACCTTCTTGCAGCTGCTGAGACAGTGTTTCCTCAGCCTCATCTCTATTTGCTTCTAGCAACTGTTTTCAGGCCATTTTATAGTTGCTGCATTATTTTTCCAGTCATCTCCAGTTCTTTCATGTGCACAAATTATACCTCCAGGAGACCAAAATCCTCTATCCCCATCCCAAGATGCAAGAGACAAGTGAGGTTAGGGGCAAGGCAAATACGGTGAGATGTGGGACCTAAGATTGCAGCTGGAGCATACTGAACACAGCCAGAGCCTTGAATGCATACAGAATGTAAGAGAGGATTTATCCTATTAGTATGGCACCAGGATTTGTAGGGCGATTTGGATAAAGCAGTCTTGTGTCTGACACTTCACCACCAAGGCACATCTTTAACTGAGATTCTCACCTCCTACTCTGTCTTCACATAAAACTATATGTCTCCATTTTCAGTTGCCAGGCTGAGAACTAAATCCTGCTCCTTCCTTCTCTCTATGCAGTTTCCCTGGGAAATAGAAATATGTAGTTCAGTAATCTAGAAGCATCTTTGGCAGGCTTAGGAGAGACTGCACTTGTGGTCCGCCATGTTGCCAGGTTCAGCAGCTTAATGGGTTTTTCCACTGGTGATACTATTTCAATCTGTTATCTCTGCTTTCAGTAATAGGATGAAAACAATGTAGATAATAAGTAGTGTAGGGCTCTACTCGAGCCTCGAAGCTTTAAATCACTAGAAGACTTGCTTGATGAGTCGCATGGGTGTTTTTTGTTTCTCTTTTTGTTTGTTTTTCATTTGTGTTTTTGTTTGTTTCTTTGCGTTGTTTTGTTGTTGTTGCTTTTCCCCATCTTGGATTGTGGTGAGATTTGGGGGCCAAGTTCAGTCCTTGCTTGAGTATGTAGTTTCCACGTAGGTCAGCAAGGATAGTACGTTTCCTGCCTCCAGGACATTGCAGTACTTCAGGGAGGAGTTTTTAATCATAGAAGGAACTGCCCGCGTGTCACTGTGGCCACCTCCCTCTTTCCAAAAATACCTTTTACTTAAGTGGCCTCAGGAACAGCCTGCACAAAGCATTGCTTTCTCTGTCCAGTATACTCGACATTCATTTTTGTGCTGAGTTCCCACATGCCTAATTTCAAACGATCTGACTCCTAATTGTTGATGTCTGTGAAATCATTTCAAGAGCAGCAGATGAGATCTGTCTCATTAGGTAGCGCTAGATGGGCATAAGTAAGAGCCAGTCCTCAGCAGGGCTGTCTCCCAAGCAGATTTTGATTATGTGAAAGCCTGGCAGGCAGAGTTTGTCTGACAAATAACCTTCACTGTTTTAATTTTCCAGGGATACAGAGTGGCTTTGCTCCTTTCTCTCCCTGGAGCCCAGGACTACAACACAGTGAATACATTCATAAGCAGAAGACTTCAATGTAATTTGATCTCTTCTAGAAGAAGTTGCAAAACATTCATGTTGGTTTTTGAGGAAGGAGTTTTTTTATTTTCAAATACATCTTTTTATGTTATTTTATTTGATAGTTTAAAATATGTATTATATGCTTAATCTCTTCCAATTTTATGCAGACTTGCCTTGACAGTATTTTGTTGTAGCAACACAATAGGACAAATAGTTAATGCTAGGCTCTCTCCTGCCACTACGTGGGCTAAATGCATGATGAGATTTAGGGCTGGGATAGAAATATGTAGGATTTGATCACAATGCTGGAGTGGGTGTTAGAATAGCTGGCGTAACTGTGGGGTGTTCCTTGCTGGGCAGCCTGTTTGTCTGCATGCTCCACGTGCTGCAACCCAGGAATGCCCTCCGTGCTGCATCAGGCCTCCCACTGCCAAAACTCCCTGGTATGAGGCTGGTCTTCTCCTCTGGCACGTGGTACTAAGAAATGTTGTATGTGAGTGCCAAAACAGGATAGATTAGGAGGGAAGGATTTCCTACGATTTTACACCCTCCAGATTTAACACCACATCAGGTGAATGCCAAAACTCCAGATAATTTGGAAAAGAACAGTGGCAACATCTAGTGGCCGTTAAAGCTATAGGTCTGTACTGCCAGCAAATATCCTTACTCTTTGTATATTCTGTATACGTGCTTGGCGTGCACTTTGCTGGACACTTCTTCCAACTAGAATGATTGTTTGGAGGCAGGTATCCCTACTAAGCACCTTGGTACCTTCTTATTTCAAAATGCTGAGTAGCACACTGTAGTCCACTTTCATCCCTAGTCTTCTGTGTAGCCATTCGATAATCCTTTGGCTTTGCTTTGGGTCAGTAAACTCATAGCTGGCTCCCCCTCCACATTTGAAAGTCTGTTTTTCTGGCTCCTTCTGACATGACCTGCTGTGAGAAGAAATGACTCTCACTTGAGAAGGTTACAGAGGTTAACAGGGAATTTAATCAGAGCCCTGAGCACAGCAACTGTCCTGCAATGTGTTAAACCATCTGGAATAGCTCGTAATCCTACTATGTCAGCTTTATTAAGCAAAACAAGATGCAGTCCTAATCTGTAGCCTGTGCATCTGTAGACTTATTTCTTTGGGAACTGAGTTTCTGGTTGGACTTGAAGCTCAGTTTGGCATCAGCAGACTTTTTTACTCATTTGTGTGTTTCCCATCCACAAATCAATCAGAAATATGCTGGATGGTTACAAGGTCCACCTCAAGACCACCATGCAAGCAATTAATCTGAGAAACATCCATAAAATGATAGCTATACCAGAGCCCAGTCTGCAAGTCTGATCCTACAGCTTACCCCTGCATCTCCAGTAGGGCTCAGGAATTTCTACTTGTGAGTGATATACATCTAGGGAAAAAGGTCTGCTAACACTAGACCTAAACTGAGGGCAATGAAACTCTCAGGACCCCAAACTGAACAGACTTTAACATGAACTGGGTTAGTGTTAGAGCTGGAGTCTATCCTTAGTGGATTATACTTGGTCTTCTGACTGATCGGATATTCTGATCTTTCAGTTAATAAGTTGAATGGTTGTACAATGTAGATTTGTATTTGGACTTACTGGAGCTGACAAACTGTTGTTAACACCAGATTTACAAGCAGGGGATAGTAGAGGAATGCAGGCTGAGCCTGGGAAAGATGACTACATACATTTTAGGTTGTGCCAGGTGCTGTGCCCCATCCTTGCAGCGTAAAGATTTGGACTGATCTTTTGCTAGGATGGGATTGTTAACAGCCCTACAGCTTAGGACAACAGGAATTTGCAGGGCCAGATTTCACACTGACTCCTCTCTGTTCTATAACTGAGACAAGAAGAGGCATTTGGAAAAGACTCACAGCTGGCACCTCTGTGAATTCCTATCTGGATTTTTTTCTGTTGTAGACATAGATCACTGGGCTAGAGCAGAGCAGGATTATGAAAGGCTATGCTGAGAGTGGACAGGCACAGGCAGAGCTGATTTTTGTATCGGGCTGTGACACCAACCATAAGGAAATAAGTAGTCTAGTCTTACTAGAAAGTGAGTGCTTTATAACTTGTAGTACCAAAGTTTACATCTCACTTAACTTTTTGCTTTCAGGGTCTTTGTTTTTAATGTGTAGAAGCTTTAAGGCCAACTTAAGCCCAGGTATTTTTGTTGTCGAGACTTCCTATCCTTTTTTTGGACTCCTTATGTTCTCATGGCTTTAGAAGTTTGTGGTAGTGCTAAACTGCATGTGAGGTGAACAGTACTTCCTTCTGGGTGCCAAGCAAAGGTGACAAAATGCCACACGTAAAGTGCATATCACAAGTTTATTCTTCTGCACAAACAAATAGAAAGTGACTGTAAATTGCAAAAAAAAAAAAAAGACAAAACAGAAAAGGAAAATGTACTTCCAAAAACGGAGACACCAAATCTATTCACCTTTTGGGGTCACATCTGCCACCAGACAGAGCACTGCTGTGGAACTCCCATTTTCAGAGCACTGATGAGTATCCTCTATGAAGAGGGCCTGATAGGGTGTGCTGGATATTATAGCAGAAAGGGAGTAAATTCAATCAGAGAACAATCCTGGATGGCACTGTGCTTGTGTCTGGTGACAAGTGACTCCTCATCATATCAGTCCCTTCTGAGATAGTTCCTCTCAGCTGCTACAGGAACTTGAGGTTATCCCTGGCAAGTGTTCCTATACATTCAGAGGGAAGAGACTGACTTCTGAAGCCAAGATAAACCCTCATAATTGCCATAGCAGCATGCTAGAGAGGAGGGATGATAAGCAGTTTTAAATCAGAACACACATAGATGTTTTCAGATGCTTAACTAGGGGATGCTGGGGTATGGCCTACCACTGCAGCTCATATATTAGCAGGTGGGAACTAAAACTTGTCCAACAACTGTTTACATCTGTGCTTGTTTAACAGCTGAAGAATTTGAAATTTGGAGAGGTTCAAGTGAATTGTATATGATTCAGCTGTTACCTAGCAGGCAGCCACATTAGTTTCATGAGCAGACCCTAGCAGACCTGCTTGAAGCCAGCAGTTGTGCAGGCTTCTTCCCTATAGCTTAGCAGATGCATCTCAGCATTAGTTCACATCTCAGCTGCATTACTTGCAGCTACAGGCCTTGTTTGGGATACTCCACAAGCATTATAGGCCTCAGCTGCAGCACCTTCTGCTTATGTGGATCCTGCTCTGTCCTCATAGGATAGGTAGCTTTCCTTCCAAACCTGGCTTTGAACCAAGAATGGTAGAGGTGAAATGCAGGATCCCCAGCCTCCTGATTCTTTTCCTTGCTCTGATGTTCAATATCAGTTGTCCAGTCAGACCTGAATCTTTTCCATCTTCTTTCCATGACTTATCGGAAGGATGGACCAAATCCAGTTATTCCACTCAGATCCTGTCATGTAACAGTCCACGGTGTTTGGCCATCATCAGTGTATCCTAGAAATCTGGAGAAGCACCACCCAGATACAGGCCAGATGCAATCTCACAAGTGTGATAAAGCCAAACCTCTCTCTCTCTTTTCCTTACTTTTTTTTCCAGTGGCAAAATGAAATTCCTTAGATGCTCAGGCCCTGACAACACTTGATCTTTAAGTCCATGAGAGACAGGAACGCTAGAGTAAGATTCAGAATTTCTGAGATTATTTCTTCACTGCAGAATTATCCTGAGCACCTTTTCTCTGGTCCACATAACCCCTCTACACCTGAGTTCAGTGATACTTTCTGCCTGGGCAAGCTGGTCTGTCTAAGGCTAGTGGCTAAAACTATCAGCCAGTGACAGCCAGCCGGTGCTCCACAAAAAGATTGTAGACAAAGCTTTTGAAGCACTGCCAGTCCTTCGAGGAACTGAAGGTTTTCCTAGGAAAATAGAAGGCTTCCTTTCTTTGGGAAGAATCACAGAGATTTAGCTTGCTAAGCACCTTATATTTTTTTCCTGACATGATGGCAATGTAGTGCAGCATAGGATGAGTGAGAAAGTAATGGTGCAAGTCAGGTTTTGTAGCGTGGCTGCCCTCCCTCACTACAGTTGAAGTGGATTCTGGTGGCCTGAGTTAACTCTGCGATGAAGACTTGTGCTAAGACCTCCCTTCTGAGGTTTTCCAGGAAGAAAAAGCATCACCTCATCATTTGAGGTTGGCTGCTCCCATGTCATACAACCAGTTGCATCCCTTTTCTTATTAACGCAGGACATTCCCAAAGGTTTTCTCTCCATCGTCTCCCACAGCTGATAGTTTGCCAAGAGAGATGTAATTGTTTTTCTCCTCCTTCTCCAGCTTGATTTTCTACATTCCAGGGTCCCCATCAATGAATGCTGCAAACACAGGTCTGCAAAGCAAGCCCAGCCAGACTTGAAGGATTCAAAGAGATCTGGAAGGATTGTGTATTGCTTTTACTTTTCTCTCATTCTCTCCCTCTCAAACTTGTCCAGGACTAAGTTGCTAGTGAGATTCTCCAGCCCAATGTGTGGAACTGCTACAAAAGGAGGAGAAAGGGCAGGAAAGCAAATGACAGGGATGTATGGACCAGAGCACATGTGATACACACATGCACATGCAAAGAAACCCTACTGATACCCTGAATTCTTCCTTAGTAAAGGGAATACTTTCTTCTTATACGCTATTGATCTAGCCTGGGACATTCAAAGAATAACTAGTCCTATTTCCCCAGCACTGCCAGCAGATTGAGCTCTGTATGCATGTGTAAGAATGCAGATCCTCTGGGAATCTCAAAGCACTTCAGTTTTTATCAATAATCTCATGGATAATTAAGTCATTTAGTATGAAATTTCACTGATGACTCCATTTCTCTGTCTCCCATTCTCCTGCTGAGACTATCTGTAGAGAGGATATATTTTCCAGCGCAACAATTTTAAGGAAGTTTTATGTAGTGAACCACTTCCAATCTAGCTATATTTCTTTCCTAAACTAAACAAAAAGCTCATGTATAAATGCATATTCAATCCTGCTTCCTTTTAAAGGCAACTTTACCTTTTCCTACACAATCCTTCTTAATACTTACAGAATCTATCTCCTGTTCAGTGGGACCAGTGCTGCAGGGCTTGCTTGGAGCCTACCAGCCACAGCCTGAGCTCAGCTTTGCTATTTATTTATCTCCAAAATTTAACACTTCCTTCCGTGATTCCTCCAGGTTGTGGTAGCCTAGCAAGTACATTCAAGGCCCCACTGTCAAACTGCTCCCAGACCTTACAGCTGTGTTTAGTGCCAGCTAGATGACTCCCTTTCAACTCCAGCCCTGGTGACTAGAGGAACAGGCACCCATAGTCATCCTCCTGCACAGTGCATGCTGCTTCCATGTGTGCGTGCCAGCACTCCTGCTCTGCTCCCTTACCTCCTTTCCCATGCCTCTCAGAAGGGGTATCTGGCAGAATTGTACATGGCAGAGCCCACTTCTCCTTTTGCTTTACTGCTGTTCAGTGTGTGTACATGTGGGCATACAAGTGCATATGTACAGACTAACAGGCTTTTTAAAAAAACAGTTTTATGGGAAAGGTAGGACTTCTGCATTGGAATCCTTTCTTCCAGCAAGGCTTTTGTCCCCTCAAGACTTCTTCATTCAAAGCTGACTCCAAAGCCCTCAGAGGAAAACCACTTCACATCCTCTTGTGAGACAGCAGCTACAGTTCACCTCTCCAGAGGTGTGCTTTGCTGCTATATGTGAGTTCCCAGTCCTTGAGTACCACGCATGCCCTCTCTGCACATTCTTCCTTCATCTGTAGCCACAGCCATAAACCTTGCCACGAAGCTGCCTATCCAGGTTCAAAGAGAGGTGGGGGGAGAGGGTGGTGCAGAAGGGGAGTACTTTTTTTTTTCTCTTTTCTTCATTTTGTGTCACACCACCCCAACATACTGAGCTGACAAGAAAGACAAAATGAACACTACCTCTGCAGGGCCATGGGTGGGATGGGAATGATGCGTGCCTCAGTGGTGGCCAAAGCTTGGCCTCCACACATTCGCCTGCATTCCTGTTCTGGCTGCTGAGAATTTGGGCCTGGCCACCTGAAAACGAGAGGCTGAAGCTGGGTTTGGGGAGGGCCCCAGGCTTGCCTGACCAAACTCTGGGGAACTCTGATATGGCTTAGGGGACTGGCTGAGCTCCATCTGGAAGGGTGCTGGGGTAGCAGGAGCAGAAGAAGCCATTTCTGTTCTCCACACGGGCTCATCCAACGTGGTGGCTGAGCGGGGCACAAGCACAGTGGGTGCCAAGCTGCTCGAAGCAGGCATGGGAGCAGGGGTGGAGAAGCGACGAATCTCCTGTGTTTTGGCTGTTTTCACAGGGACCTGCTTGGCTGCAGTGAAGGACGAGCTGGCCTGCTGGCCTGGCTGACCAGGAGACTTCTGAGTGCTGGAGCTCGGGGGATCACCAAAACAGAACATGGCTGACTTTAATTGATAGGGCTGATGGTGCATTAAATCAATGGCCTTGTTCCCTGACTTCTGGCCAGGTGCCTTTTTCACTTTGCTCTCTGCCTTACTAGCCTGAGACTTGCTGGCTGCCAGAGGATAGAAAGGGGAATGCATTGGGTTGTAAGCTATCGGAGGCGGAGCCCGGATATTGGGTGAATATTTCCAGGATGAAGGCAGAGAAGGGGAAGGTGAAGGGGTCCTGGGCTTGGACTCTGGCTTCGTTGCTGTCTCCACCACAAACTTGTCCATGCGGCTCTGGCGTTTGGCAAAGAGCTGTGCCCCCTTGCCTTTAAGCTGAGGCATGTCATGGGCCCCATTTACCAGTCCAGCATCTTGCTGCTGAGGCTTAGGAGCCACTGGAGGTGGGGTCTTAAACTTGCGGCCTGAGGACTGCATGAAGTTGCAGGCTTCAGCACCCAGGCTGAGGAAATCCTCCTCAGGCCCAGACTCAAAGCCTGCCCCAAGGTGGTCACCTTTCGGCTTCTCATCCAGGTTCTGCACCAGAGACAGGAGCTCGGGGTTGGGTGAGTTCTTCTTTTCCTCAACCTTACTGAACATGGGTTTCTTGTTGCCCCGCCGGCGAGCCTCCTGCAGGATGCCTGTGCGGGGAGCTGGCACGGCAATCCTCTGCTCCCTGGAAGTTAAGGGCTCAGAAGGAGGCCGTGGTGTTGCTGCTGAGTTGGCAGAAAGCTGCACTGGCAGCGGGGAGGTGCTTACCATATGCTGTGCTGGTGCTGGGCTAATATACAAGGAAGAAGAGGCTGTTCCAGGGACTCGAGGCTGAGATGCTGCAGAGGCCACCTCCCCTCCTGGCTTTGAGGGAGTTGACAGGAATATAGAGGCAGTGGATGTCCGTGCAGGGCTGGCAGAAGGCTTGGTCTCTGGAGCGCTTCCTCCAGCTCTTGGCTGTGATTCTAGTGGTGTTGTTGGCCTGCCTGGTGCAGGAATATACAGAGATGTGGAGGAGCTCACTGGACCACGGTGTGTTGGTGCTGTGGCACTGGCAGGTGTTCCTGGAGCAAGAGGTGAGGAAGGGGAGACCACCGTGCTTTGTCCACCAAGGTTTTCACTAGGTTTTTTGGGTGCAGATGGCCTGAAGATGACTGAAGATGTTGCTGGGCGTTGGCCAGAAAAACCAGGAGTAAAGGGCCGTGCAGATCTGTTGAACATACTAGTGCTTGAAGAGAAGGGGTCAGGTGTGCCTGGGGGGTGCGGGAAAACAGTGGGGCTGGGGGGAGCCAGGACCTGAGTAAGTGTGGTGGTTGGCATCTTGCTGGGCACTTGCACACCTTCCAGGTGGATGCTGAGGGGCACACTGGCCGTCTTCTGTGGCACAGGCATATCTCCATTCACCATGCCCGGCTGTGGCTGGGCAGCTGGGGTGAGCTGGGGGCTCCTCTGTGCAGGGACTTTTTCCACTGTGTACTTCCCTGCCCGTTCCCTCTGCTGTTCAAATAACCGTGCTCCTTTACCCGAGGCTTCACTCAAACCTTTTTGCTTCTCTTCTTTCTGCTCAGAGACTGACTTGGACTTTTCAATGTCCAGGTAAGTGTTGTCCCAGTCTGAGTGATTTGTTAAACTTCGGGCGTCAGAGAAACCTTCCTCATCAAATTCAGACTCACTAGTTGGAAAAATTCCGTCTTCCTCCTCGTAGGAACGGTCTTCGTCAACACTCCCAAAGCTCACTAGTGTATATTTCTTGGCCCTCTGTCTGCGCTTCTTGAACATCAACACCCCCTTGGAGTGGGGGTTGGGTGCGTCTGTCAGCAGGGATGCAATGGTTCTGCACTTGGTTTTGGCTTCTTTCACGTTCTTCTCTTGGATGCTCTCGTGGCGGTGAAGCTCTGCAAGAGACAGAAAGACAAGCTCAGAGCTCCACAAGAGGCTAGATGGGCAAAGATGGGCAGTGATATGGCTGTAGGTATTCTAGTGCTCAAAAAAGGAGACATACTGACACCATCTGCCCTATCTTTTCTGTCCAACCTTTGCTGATAAGCATTGTTTGTAACTGCTGATAGAAACCCAGGTCAGTTTCCTCTTTCCATGCAAACACTATCAGTGAAGTTTCTATGGGTGCAGAAAGAGAACTGGCTTTGTTTTAAAGGACAGTTTCTGTTTTCTGGTCAGATCTGGGACTTCCTACTTCTGCAGCATGTGGACAAGAGTCCCTGGCTGTATTTCACAGTGTGTTTGAAATTTGTGTCTTTGATCCTGGGAATCTGGAGCATTTACTTATCACCCTGTTACTTATCACCCTGAAGATGGAGCCCTGTGATATGCAGATCTTCCTCCTGCCATATGGTGGATACTTAGGAGCAAGCAGTTCCTCTAGAGGTCTGGAAAGCAGCCATCAGTACTGTTAGTTCAGATCTGTGTGTGCAACAGGAGTCATAGTTTTTAGGTGCTCAGCAGGAACAGCTGGTGCCTGGGCCCCGCAGTGACAGTTATAGTCTGTGTCTTACATCAACACCGTGTGTAGGGCTGTTCACTGCTCCCTGCAGCAGCGCTGCGGCAGCAGGAGGCATGCTTTTACCCTTGCTGCAGTCCCTTGTCTGTGCCCCAAGCCCAGCAAGGAAACAGACCATTTGCTCCTGAGCAAGAATCCCAGACCTCTATGACCGATCAGCCAGCCCAGAAGGAATCTACTTACAGGCTTGCCTGGAAAAGCTGACACCTGTTGGGACACTGGCATGAAAGTGCAGAATAATCGTTTTCCATCTGCTCTGCCAGTCCAGTGGACAGCAAAGCCCCAGTGAGGAACACTATGTTCTCTACCCCATGTGTAGGGAAAGCATAGTGTGAGCAAGATTCAACAGAAAACCAAACTCAGCTACCCTGAGAAAAGCATGGACTTCCCTATAATCAGTGTTCAAGAAATCAGCACTAACCTTGCAGAGAAAAAAGGCAGAGCAAACCCAAGCCACAAGATAATCTCCATTTTTTTTCATTTTATTCTTTTCCTTACTCCCATTGTTTTTTTTCCCAGCATGGCTGTACAGATGAGAAATCCATCCACTGCCTGCCTCTAATTGCCAAAAAACTGCATCACTTTGTCCAATCTTTTGACTGCTTTATCTCAGAACATTCATTCAGTGAGGACCAGTTAATGGGGCAGAGCTACTTGCATTGGGCGACAGCAATGGGAGAGGAAGTTTAGCTGGGAAGGACACAAGTTTTCCTGAGGGCTGCAGATATTCCCCAAAACCTAGTCTAGGTGCTACAGGTGTGGTATGTTCTATACTGCATTAGTATAACCACAGCAAAAAGAGCTCCCTCTCATAGTTCATGTTGAAAATAAAGTGTCAACTTGCACAGCAGTCATCCTTGCAGAAGCTTAAGATAAAGACAAAGGAAGACCGATCTCAAGGCTTGAAGCCTTTCACAGCACATGCTGCTACCCTGTGATTTCAGCAAGGGCACCTGTTTGGTTACTTGAGCTGGATGCTCAGTCCATTCCTCCCCTTTGCACCAAGAAATCTAGAAGAAGCCAAATCAGTTCTAACCTGTGCAAATGGCTCATCATTTACACATGCATTTGGAGAGTAAAGGCTCTCTGAAAAGCTTTCCTTAAATACTGACTCCACCTTGCTGAACCAAGACTAACAGTGACCAGGATTTTGTGGAGACTTAGTGCTATTCAGAACAGTTGTGGACTTCCCTCAAAGATCAGCTGTCCATGATGGAAATGAATTACAATCCCTGAAGGTCTGTTCACTCCACTTAGAAATCTGCATGCTTGTGCCAGGGGAAGCAGGGAGTTCCCAGTGGAGGAAACAAGACATTTCTTTCTTTCTACAAGCATCCAGTCACTATACCTCACCAAGCTCATATATTTTGCTTCTACAAAAAATAAAGAGAAAGAGCATTGCTACAGAATTTAAATCACATTCACACTATGTAAATTCTGTTTGAGTGACTCACAGGAAGATATTGTGCATCAGGAGCTAACAGCTAGGGAGTTACACCAGCCAGAGCGAGTGTCTGAGCCTCTTTCGACAGCAGTACACTGTGAAAGGGTTCAACTCTACAGTGTGGGCTAGCAAATACTGTAGATAGTCTTGGTTATGCCTCCACCAACAGTTGGGCCAGACTCAGCATTAAAATCTACACACAGCTTCCCTAGGATGTTGGTCTGAACTACTCTATGCTCAGAAGCAGCTGGAAACTGAGGCTGTGAGACTTGCTTTCAGGGCAAGGGCAAGACCTGAGACTTGCTTCCCTTTTCTCCCTATTCTCCTTCTTATCAAGGTTAGAGTGCAGAACAAACTACAGCCATTATCCCAACAGAAAAAATGATCACGGTATTCAAGCTACAATCTCTCACAATGTTTTAAGAAAAAACCAGAATCTTCCTAAGATGACTTGTTGAAGAAAAACAGGAAGAGTGAAAGCAGAACAGAGAAATGAATGGGGAACAAAGATCTGTGGAAACAGAAAAGGAGAGGAGAGGAGAGGAGAGCACAAATGAAAAAGAAAGAGAAAAAAAAAAGAAAAATGAGGAGACACCTGTACCTGCATAAGGCTGATCCAAGCTTGAGAAGGCAGAGTCCAGACCTGGAGAGCTGGGCATGTCACAAAGCCCGTTTAACTCACAGCTCCCCATAAACAGAGAGAGGCAATCGGAGAGAAGCAAAGCAGCTTCCTGCTGGATCAGAACCAAAAACTCTGAGGTGTCCAAGCCCTTTGCTATCAGTTCCACAAGCCTTTTAAAGCCTCTCTTTTGTCTAGTAGGTATTGCTGCCAAAAGCCATGAGGTCACTTTGTCTATTTTTGTCTTCTTAGTTTCATCACTGAGCAGTGTGATGGACATTATCACCTGGCACTTCAGCATTCTCCTTTTTTTCTCCTCCCTCCAATCCCTGGGAAAATAACCTGTTCTTTTTTTTTTGTCTTAAAATAAGAAAATATTCTCTCTGTTCCCACTGCTTCTGTGGTGCAAGCTTCAGGCTAGAAACTGTTTCTAACTGGTACCTCCATGGACCTTTCAAACAGATAAGGTTAACATATCCAACACAGCAGAGTAGAGAAATCCACTCAGGAGGAAAGAAACTTTTCTCCTCTGAACGCTCAGGGAGCACCCAGCTTCAGGCAAATATAAGGAACAAAAGAAGATGGGGAAAGGCTTTCTTTTCCTTTATACATCAATTTCCTTCCACATCTGAGGAGTATCAGCTCATGATACCAATTCCTGCCGTATGCCAGGACTAAGAGACATTTGACAGAGGAGCATTAGGATACTGAGTGCCTGTAGTGAAGTGTTTGAATTAAAATGGCAAAGGATGTTACCTACAAGGAAGAGTGTGGCTATGCTCAGGGAGGGCGATGAAGGGTTTGGAGACCAAATGTTTTGGCAGCACCATTCAGAGCTCCAGCACCAGAGACTGAGAGGTGATGAATGACAAGATGATGATAGTAAGAACTGGAGTGGACAAAGGAGAAGGGAACGGAGAGTGCTGGGAATCTACAAATCACTGAGAACATCATCTCCAGTGTTAGTGAGTCTAGAAAAAGGAAGGTCTGACCACAGAATCATAGAATCCTAGAATTATTAAAGCCTCAAAGATAATCTTGTCCAAGCATCTACCTCCTGCCAAAACTATCCACTAAGCCCTCTCCCTCAAATGCCACACGATGCCTCATAAAATCCCTTTGCCACCGCTGAATGCCAGGGAAGATGATTTCCTCAGGCAGAGTTACTGTAATGGAGACGTGTCATGGCCTCATACAAAGGCTTTTACAGCAAAAGCAGAGAAAGTTACTCAGTTCCTTCTTCTCTGATTAATATTTATATATACAGGGATACAATCTCTTTGAGAAAACCTTGTTGAATCTGATATACTCCAATTGCATATT